GATTATGACGCTCCGATTACGCTTTAAATTTCCATTATCGTCGTTAACTATTAACTCTCATCGAGGGGAGAGATTCTCAGGTTTGATAAAGGCCGCGCGTTAAAAGAGAAAAGAGACAAAAAAACCGCTTGTTGTAGCTTTTAAATACCTAACAAAATCAAAATGTATTAATAAAACATAAACCAGGCATAAACCAAGCAGAAATAAAGGCCCCTGAATCGTTACGAACAATAAAAGTTGATTACGTGATCAGTTTTGTTTCCTTGTTTAGTTTTTGCGCTAAATTTTGATCACTTCTATTAAGCGGTCGACATCTATATCCTGAGTACGACCGCTTAATACGTACAGGTTTGATTGTATTAACGAAATGTTGGCTCACATGAAAAGCTACCTTTGTTGTCTGATCCCTCTTTGTTTTGACAACAAACTAATACTGACGTAATTTCTAACTTAGTACTAGTAAAGAATCGATGAAGAAGCCATAGCTTAATACAACAAATGTACTAAAAACACGGACCACATAGAACACAAAATTTACTAAAATAAAATTTCGAGATCAAAATTATCAAAACGGAGATGCCGTCGAGTGACAACTCCTAAGTAACAAATTTTAAAACTCCCGATGATTAAATACTCACACCTCAGCGTGGTTACTTAGACATACAGCTACAATCCGGCTTATGAGTTAAAAAGTTATATTTTGCTTGCGTTTTAATCGGTTCTGATTAATCGGTTCATATGAACAACAATTCAAATTGTGCTAAAAGCGAAATTTGCACACACACACCTCCCATGAAAATGGGGCAGGTAAAAATACAATTGGCCGGAAATTGATGGTTGGCGACAGAGAAATTCAAATTTTCTTTTGTTTCTTTTATGTGTAAGCTATTTACACAGATAGCTAGTCTGTCTGCCCTTTTAATCCGAACACGTCAGTCATGTCATATGAAGCGTCAAAGTACATTTCCCGTCTCTAGGTCAAAGCCACTCAAAGCCGGCCAGCAACTGAAGCAGCTTGCTAATTGATCACTCAGTCCCTTTCATTGGTTGAGTTTCAAGAAATTCATCGAAGGATAAGGAAAAGAAGCACGACTCAATTCATTACATGTAGTACTAGTAAGTGGACCGAGTGGAGTACAATTTTCAGGGAGTAATCGCGCGAGTTATTTCAAAATCGGATTATAACATAACTAAAGCAAAGCGCGCGCTCTGATTGGTTAATTTAGCGTCTACTATTTGCCCATGGG